TGAGCTATTTTAAAATGAAGAAATCAGTGAGAATGCTATCAAGCCAGGATGAACAGTGACGCATGCACATTTAGGAGTCATATTATCGTACAGTGGCCTGTTGGGAAGGCTGCAGCTTAACAAAGACAGTGCACATCAGAGTATTAAGGAGTATAGCCAGAATAGCAAACTGATGCCATCCTGTCAATCATCCTAGTATGCCCCTGGGTGTTATTGGAGGGCCACTTTTAGAACGGGCTATATAATGGACACTGTTCTGTGCAGGGGCATCGAATCTGGGCTTGCCTAACTCCACGTAGTGCTCTCTGCACCACACACTAGGTTCACCCAGATTTGTACAGCTGACCTTCATCACTGAGCTCTGGGGGCCTCGTCAGCAAGGTTTTTGGTAGAAAATAAAGAAGTCCTTGGCCCAGTTCTGCGTGCTCAGCAGCTGCTGTGGAGAAGTGTGCTAAGCCACCGGAACCTTGGGGTCTTTCCTTCGCATCCTACTGAGGATATTATGTTTGCTACACTTATCTCTCAAGGTTTTTGTAAGGCTGATATGAGATAATAGCTGGGGAAGTGTCTCACAAACCTAGTGATGGACAAAGAAAAGGCTCACATTATTAAATTTTTTATGATGCTGGGCCATTTTTTCATCATGTTCCTGTTGGGTTCTTACTTAATTTAAAAACTTACCCAATTCTTTCTGTCCTTTGTCAATTTTTGGCCTTAGATCTACAAGGGCAGTTTTCTGACTAAGAGGAAGTTGTCCCCAAGCTGTTGATTCAGAGACGTGCTCAGAGACACTATGGCTCAATCCCTTTCTTCTTCTTGCAAACTTGGGATACAAGACATGATGACTTACTCTCCAAAAGTCTCTTTTCCTGTCATCACACTCTGATCAAGCATCTGTTTATTGTGTTTTCCCTTCTCCAGCTCTGCCTGACACTCTGTGAGACTTAGGAATTAAAAAGTCAGCTCAGTCCCCAGGATTTATAGTAGAGAGAAAAAGACTCAGGAAACTGTGGCTGAGTACACATTCCGTGTTGTGTGGGTCGTGTTGTGACACAAGCCAAGCAAGGAGATGCCTTGTTCTGCTTCAGTTGATGGCAGCTTCCTGGAGAAGGTGCTGTGATTTGATCTGGACCTGGGATCCTGGGATGTGAATTAGGGTGATCTGGTGGGAAGGAGGTGGTCACAGGTAAGGAGAACAAGACAGGCTTATGTGTGCATGTTTAGCAAGGTCTGGGGAACTGCGCTGTGCAGTGGAAGGAGAAACGGGAGACTGAAGGTCCGAGTGTGAGTGTGAGTGTGTGTGTACGAGAGAGAGAGAGAGAGAGAGAGAGAGAGAGAGAGAGAGAGAGAGAGAGAGAGAGAGAGAGAGAGAGAACCATGTTCTAAAGGGCTAGAGAAAGCCTAGTGTTGTGTTACTTTTCTGGAGAGACATAAACAGTCTATTTATCCCAAATAGGGCAGCGTGACAGAACAAAGCAATGATCTGACTCTAATCCATCGTGGTGAACCATTGAGTTTCTTGGGTTTACTTACAGGAGCACAGCTACTGCACTGAAAAGTCCCACCTCTGCATGGGTGACAGTCCCCTTGCAGCTGCATGGGTGGAGCCTACCCTCTTCCTTTCTCTTCTGCTCCCTCCTGTGCACTTTAGCACCTCCTTGGACCATGTGCATCTGGGAGGTTGGTACAGGATGGAGTGCTAGAATCTTAAGTGAGGGTCTAATAGCCTCTCCCTTCTCTCCTTATATGAGGGGATATTGATAGAGCTGATCTTAGGAAGGCCTTGAGAGTGTGAGCAGTCAGAGCTGCTCTGACTTTGAGAAGGCAATGACAGGTCCTGCCTGCAGGACGGTGTTCATAATACCTGGTCTGAGGATTGTGGGGCACATTCATCCAGAATACCATAAAGTGCTAGAGTTAGACGGGCCAGAGGCAGGAGAAGCCTGCATCAGAAGACTGGGGTCGCAAGATCCTGTGCAGATGTGGATGGACAGATACCTTCAGGACAAAGGTCCCAGAGCTCAGTGACAGATTGAGGCAAAGAACTCAGCGGGGAAGAAGAGGAGGAATCTCAGGCAGGTCCATTTGACGCTTTGACTTGGCACTGCGTGGTTTCCTTGCCCAGCTCCAGAATTCTCAGCTCTTTGAGAAATGTGGGTGGTTGATAGCAGCAACTCGTTTTCAGAACTTAAATTATTCCAAGTTCGTTTATGAATATTTCATTTTTAGCTAACTAATTGGTTTTGAAGATCTGAATTATGGATGTAGGGGATGGAAGATGAGTTTTGTTGCTGTTGTGTTGGAGGCTTTCTGAAGCATTCAGTGCTGATTTTATGTTCTAACTTAACCACCAGATTCCATACTGCTCGTTCGCTTAGTCCATCTGGCTCTGTAGGGTCAGGACACTGGGTTAGGTGCTGAGGGCTATGAAGCATAATCAGGAGGACAATTCTGCCTGCATGGAGTCTCCAATTCATAGGCTTAGAGATTCATAGACAGTGCCCTGGGGCCCACTGTGCTGTGCTCCCACTGTGTGTGAGCACACTAGCTCACTCACAGAAGGCACTGCTCTTGCATAGTATGTGCCTGGCTCTCTTTGGAGAAAGTATGGGGCACCTGCTACTGAACTCCCCAGTTCTCTAGGTTACAGCACAATTCTCTACAAGACTAGTCTACCCAAGGCTTATGACATCAGCCACAAGTTCAGGGGGGATGCACTACCCTTTCTGAACTGCTAGTTAACAAATTTAGGGATCTCTGTCATCTCTGTCAGGCTCAATAATTTGCAAGTTGTAGAACTCAGTAAAGTCCTACACTGGGATTACAGCAGAGGACTGGGAGGCCCTCAGGGACACTTTCAGGTTCCCTGCAGTGTGGGGTGCTACCCCTCCCTCCTGTTTTAGTGCATGACAAGATGAAGAGTCACCCAGCAAGTCACTCGAGCTTTCATTGTCTACAATTTCAATCCGGGCATCAAGGATGTATTGACCATTGTAGTCTTTGTCCTCCTGGAGTTCGTAATACCTCTCCCTCTAGTCCCTCTAAAAGTCAGAGCTCCTGAGTCAAGTTCTAGAGTTGCCATCATAAACCACCCAGGGCCAAAGCTCCCAGGAAAATACACACAGGCCATCAGGAAGGACATTAGACCTGAGGGTCACTTTCAAGTCATCCTGGACAGGGGTTAACCTCTGGGGGTTAAATTTATCTCCTCTGCACAGCTGCTCACTCAAGAACATTTAGACAGCAGTCTCTGCACAGTAGGACACTGCTTGTTACAGGCTTAGAACTGGGCTGCAGACTCCAGGAAGCTGTTATGGTCCAGGTTTCTGCAGCTCCACTGATGGGATGTGAGGTGGGTGTTTCATAGACTCTGCTTATTCTGCTTCTCTGATGTTAATTGCTGCCCCTGCCTGTGTTGTAAAAATAATAGGAAAAGTTTTCAAGGCTTTGACGGGAAGGATTTGTTCTTATTCTCTTACTGGTCTCGTTCTTTCCCCAGCCTTCAATGCCCAGGGGCTAGTCCTCCTGGAACCTATCTGTCCTTGGTGGGATCCGGTGCTGGCAAAGAGACCAAAGGCTTGAGTGTGTTGCCTGATTGTCTGCTCAAAGCGCATTTCCCTGTCCTTAAGCACCATTCCACCCATTCTTCTCATCCCAAATGCCCTGAGAGACGAAGTAAAGCCCGAAAACGTGCAGGCTGTTGTGACTAGAGAAGTCCATGACTTGGGCCCTCAGTTAGTGCTGACCTGCCCTTGGTCTTGCGACTCTGTAGAAACTGCACCCATGGGGGGCATACCCTTCCTGGGAAATTTCCTGCCCCATTCTGATGCCCAGTTTCCCTGCTTGGAACATGGGTGGAGGTGGGCTGCCGTGTTTGGAGCACCTGTAGGCATGCTGCTCTGGGCTACAGACTTCTGCCCCATTACCCCCCTCCCTGACTTGTGGGCACAGGTGACCCTCTTAATGAAAGGGTCCCCACAATACTAGCAGTGGGTCAGTGGGTAAAGTGGCTGGTATTTCTTCATGTAGTGTGTTAGCTAGAGAGAGAGACAGAGAGACAGAGAGACAGAGAGAGAGAGAGAGAGAGAGAGAGAGAGAGAGAGAGAGAGAGAGAGATCCCCTACTACCCTCCCCCTCAACCCTGAGGTTCTGGTTTAAAAGAGCTATCTAGATAATCATGCATGAGACAGATGGCCAGTTCTGGCACTGGGGTTATCAGCCAGGCTGGGGTGGCTCCTGCTTGGACCGTCTCAGGGGCCCTCTAGACATGTCATTCCCTCTTCACATGACTGTGTTCAGCTCTGTCCGCTGATTCTGTTCCCTCCTTCATTGCACCTTCATCAGGAGGTGAGTGTCTTCAGGATGAACGCTAATGAACAGGAGTGCTGTTGGAACATGGTTTGGAACTTGCTCTGAGCAGCTCATTCATGCCACTGAAAAATCTCCAGGTCGCTAGGAAACTTGAAAAATATTATTATTGTCTTTTACCCTATAATTTCAACTTTACATTATAATTATTTTTTCTCTTTCTCACCAGGATAGTGTGAATCTTGAAATAATCAGAACAGTTGCATAACTTATTAGGAGGGTGACACTCTCAGCAGTCCCTGAGAACCTTCTGCAAAGAAGTCATGAAGTACTTCTGAGAACTGGATTTAGTGGAAGTGGTGGTTAATGAGGGGCAGACTTTGTAGTCGGGTAGCCATTGTCACTACTTGAAACCCCACCCTTCTGCTTTATAGAAGGAGCGTGTGCAAAGTCTCTGGCCATTTGGTAGTCCTGAAGCAGAATGTTACAGCATCAGTTGCCCATCAGTAGACAAAGGCCATGGAAATAGCATGAAAGATGAAGTTTGCAGCTGATAGTGTCGGCAAGTCCTTCAGAATTTTCATTTTCAATGAAGCACAGAACATGACCGCAGTCTCACACTAGAAGTCAAGTACCTGCCCTGCCTGGCCGCCTTGTATAACTGCCTTCCTGCCCTCTTGTTTCCTTTGTAGAGTTCTTGGTCATGAAGAGGAAGAGAGGCAGGCCTAAAGGTTCCACGAAGAAGCCCAGTGCTGAAGAGGAGATGGCAGACAGCCTTGTGAGCTCCGGTGGAGATGGTCCCGTGGCTCCAGAGGAAGGAAGCAGCCTGGCGCCCAGCAGCCTGGAGTGCAACAAATGCTGCCGGAAGTTCTCCAACGCGCGACAACTGCGCAAACACATCTGCATCATTGTGCTGAATCTGGGTGAGGAGGAAGGAGATGCAGGTTAGCGCCACCGTGTCAGATTCTTACAGCATGCAGTAACTGCCAATATCTGCTTTGCGGTTTGTTCTTTGGGAGTAGTGTGCTGTTTGCGGGTCTCTCCATCTGGAGAAGTGCTTGCTTCCCTCATTGTTGCTTCCTGCTCCTGAGACTCGTACTTAGAGTGGTGGTGTCGTGCAGTAGATGACGCCTGTGGCAGCAGGTTAGGGGTGCCTTGAGAGGAGCTGTGGCGATTACAGAGATGGTAAAACTCAGTTTCTACCTCGGAGAGCTTATGTGCTTGGAGAGCAAGGAGCTTTTGGATACAGTATTAGGGGTGTTCACCAAGAGAAAGCATTCTGATAGAAAGGTAGTGGACCAGGGCCACGTTGGAGTGTGAGACAGGGGGATATCTCAGTGGATGGATGGGGCCAAGTGAGCAGTGTACAGTGACTAGGATGTTCAGGGCCTCATGTGGAGGTGGGACTGATTGGCCACTAGTGACTGAGGACTACATTGTGGTGCATGTTCTTGAAGGAAATGACATCACTTACTCCCTCTGGCTCTGTTCCTGGCTTGGCTTCAGCTCTGAAGCAACTTTTTTTTTTTTTTAAATCTTTTTGGGACAGGATCTCCCTGTAGCTCCAGCTGTCCTGGAACTCACTATGTAGACCAGGCTGGCCTTGAACTCACAGAGATCCGCCTACCTCTGCCTCCCGAGTGCTGGGATTAAAGGTGTGCGCCACCAGGCCCAGTGCAACTTCTTTTTTTTTAAAAAAAGTAAAATTTATGTGTATGAGTGTTTTGCCTGCATGTATGTAAGTTTACTGTCATTCCATGCCCTTGGGGGCCAGAAGAAGGTATCAGACTCCCTGGGACTAGAGTTACACGTGGTTGTGAGCCTCCATGTGGGTGCTGGGAACTGAACCAGGGTCCTCTGCAAGAGCAGCCAGTGCTTTTGGCTGCTGAGCCATCTCTCCAGCCCCATGAAGCAACTTCCAGGTGGAGCTGAGAGAGGGTGACTGAGCATGGAGTGGGTCCTATGGTAGGGCTCATCCATAGAGGACTGTCTTAGGAGAGTCAGGACATCATGGCTTCTGCTGGGGCCTGGTGGTTTGATGCTCGCACCGTTTTCCCTGTCTCCAAGCCACTCCCATATTTCAGAAGTTCCCAGTGGACTGTGCTGTGCTTAGTGTGCTGCGTCAGAGCCCAGGCTGCTCAGCACGTGGTCAGGGCTGGAGTCTGCTCCAGCCTTACTAGCTTCTTGTTGCCTCAGTTTCCTCACTTGTGACATGGGAATAAAAGTAAGGTTGATTTATATGGTTGCTTTGAGTATGAAATGAGACAGGACTTGTTCAGGGCTTGGGATAGTACGTGCCATAGCAGTAGACCCAGTAAGCTTTACTGCCCTGTCTGCTGTCACAGCTGATGTCATCCTTCCTGTTCCAAAGACAGGACACTGGGACACAGAGAGGTGACAGAATTTGCTTGGTGTCTGTTAGGTAGCAAGGAGACCTGGCCTTTGAACCCAGGCATCCTCTGAATCCCCCTTCTTAACTTCTGTATTGTAAATATCTGCCAGTAGTAAAGCAAGATGCTTGATGTGTAAAATCCCAGAACAGATGTGGTGAATTGTTTAGTAATCATCAATTTATAATTAATAAGTGTCCAGGTAGGTGGCCAGGGCTCATTACCAGCATCTGTGGCATTGATTAAGACATTGTTCCAATCTCCTGAAGAGTTCTCAGGGTGATCTTCTGAACTTTACCTAGGTGTATGCTAGCACAAATAGCAGACCAAGATCCTGATATGGCTGCAGGCTGGTATGTGAGCCTTATGCTGTGTGCTAGCACAGAGAACAGACAGGATTCCAAGGTGGCCCTGGGCGGGCAACTGTCCTGCAGCATAAGAGGTGTGGACAGGGAATGTGTGGTTTCAGTGAGGGCTCTATCTTGGTTTGTAACATCAGGTCTTTGGAAAACCAAAGATGGTTTGAGAAGGAGTTGCTTATGGTTGGGCACATACTGTATTGAACCTGAAGCTTGGATGGCCATGGTTATTCACTGGTGCACGTTCTGGGCACCACTGTGTCACTCGCTCTTTCTCTGTCTCTTTCACACACTTTCTCTCTCTCTCTCTCTCT